TCAGTTTAGTTCCTCCCTGTATGTCTCTGGTGCGTTTAGAGCTGCTCTCTTTGCTCTGAGCACAGATCGTATGAGTTTCTGAGCAAGTGAGTCTGTGCTGGCCCCTTGAGGAGTGCCTAGGTCTCCGGCAGCCCTCTGTTTCACTTGGACACAGTCCTCCTGGTTTTCACAGCCAGATGGTATGCAGAGCCCTCTTCCCAGCACTGGTGCTCCAGACTGCGAGCAGGTGTGGGGCTGGGCCCCTCCCTCCTTGGGTACCCTCACAGCCTAGAGCCCTCTAGCCCTCTAGATTCTTAACCTCACTGGCTGTGGGATCTTCCCATCTGCCTCTCCGCCCTTCCTACCAGTCTCGACTTGGCTTCTTTCTTCCTTAGTTGTAGGACTTCTGTTCAGCTAGACTTTAGGTAGTTCTCAGTGATGGTCGTTCTGTAGTTTAGCTGTGATTTCGATGTGATCGTGGGAGGAGGGAGCACAGCGTTTACCTATTCTGCCATCTAGACTGGAAATTCTCCCTCTCGTAATATTTTTTGTCTTTTCGGCTACACCGGCTTTTCTCTGGATGCCATTTGCTTCAAGTGTCATTTTCCACTCCTTCACTTTGAGCCTATGTTTGTCTTTGGAGCTGAGTTGAGTCTCCCGCAGGCAACATATAGTGGGTCTGAATTTTGAACTCATGCCACTATGGGCCTTTTGATTGGTGAGTTCAGTCCATTTACATCCAGGGTGATTATTGACATGCGAGGACTCACTGCAGCCATTTTTCCCGGTTTCCTGATCGCTCTGTACCTCCGTTGTTTCTTTCCCCTTGTGATTCCATTTTCTATGATTTTTTTTCCGTTTGTCTTAGCTCTGGATTTTGGTTTTGTAGTTACCTTTAGGTTTGTGTTTAACGTCTCATGCATGCAGTAGTCCTTTTTCTTCTGACCGCCCCCTTATTCAGCTGTACCTGTTCAGTTTTTTTCCTGTTTTCCTTTTAAGAGTGTTTTCACAAATTGTTCCTTTTTATGTTGTGCATTTGTTACCAAATTGCTGCTGTTATACTTATTTTCAATGCCCCCTTTCACCCTTTAACCTTTGTAATAATTGTTTAATAACCTATTCAGATAGATGTGTAGTTTCCTGTAAGTTGTGAACCTTACAATATTGTTTTATATTTTTCCTTTACACAATCTTAAATTTAGAAAAATATGTAAATAGCTTTTTGGATTTACCCACCTGTTTAACATGTCCAGTGATCTTTATTTCTTCCTGTACATTTGAGAGCTACCCTCTAGTGTCATTTCCGTCTACATCTCAAAATTCACTTTAGAATGCATTGCCCTGCAGGTCTGTTGGTGATGGATTCTCTCAGCTTTTGTTTTTGAATCTATATGTTACCTTCATTCTTGAAAGTTTGTTTCCCTAGCATTATTTAATTTTGCGTAGCCAGAATTTTCGTTGTTGTTGTTCAGCACTTTAAAGATGTTCCATTGTCTTTTTCCTCCATGACGTCTGATCAAAATTTACCCATCCTTAAATATAATATCTTGTGTGTAATGTCTTCCCCCGCCGCGCCCCCGGTTGCTTTTAAGATTTTTCTCATCTTTTCATTGGAAGTTTGATTGCGATATGCCTAGGAGTGGTTTTCTTATTTTTTCTGCTTGGTACTCATTGAGCTTCTTGGGTCTGCGAATTGATGTTTTTTCCTGCAATTTGGGAATGTTTGGGCCATTTTTTCACACGGGTCACTTTTGTGACCCATTTTCTCCAGTTACATGTTGTTAGACTATTAGATATTGTCCCACAGTTATCTAGGTTCTGCTCGTATTTTTCTTCAGTCTTTTTTTCTCAATAAAATAACTTCTGTTAATATAACTTCAGCTACACTGACTTTTTTTTGTGTGGTATTTTTGGCTTTTAAGAATATGCAGTGAATTTTTCATTTCATTCATTTTTTTTTTCAGCTTTAGAATTTCCATTTAGTTTATTTCTTATCTATATATTTTCCTTTGGGTTCTTTAAGTGCTGTAAAGTTCCCGTCTGTTAATTGCAACATCTGGGTCGTCCTGGCACTGGCTTCTATACACTGCTCTTTTTCTTTAGTACAGGTCACATTTTCTTGTTCTTTTCTTGCCTAGTAATTTTTGATTGAATGCTAAGCATTATAAATAGCATACTGTAGAGGTTCTAGATTCTGTTAGGATTCTCTGAAGAGTTTTATCTTACCAGGCAGTTAACGTGTGGCAAGACTCAAGTTCCAAACTCCTGTCCCCCGTATTAGCAGCAGCTGAAACCCCCACTCAGTTATTTCAGTTTCCAGCTGCTGCTTTTTTACTGGGTCACCTGGGGTCTGTGGCTAAGAATTTGAGCATATTTTATTTGCAAATTTTGGGGTTCAGCCCCCATTTGCCTCCCTCCCTTTCAGGGTTTCCCCCTAACTTTCTGACAGCTGTGCCGTCCCTGAGCTCTGTCCACTGCTACCCTGACGGATGTCTTAGAGAGATTGGTGAGTGCCCTCAGTTCAGGCAGAAAGCTGCATGTTTATAGATCTCATGAGGTGCAACTTTGTTTTCTCTTGGGAGTAGACTGCCTTCTAGGTTCCGTTTGCTTTTGGTCATTCTCCAGTGACTTCAAATAATATTTAAATATTTTGTTCAAATTTTGTAACTGTCATGTGAAGAAGGGTGGTGGTACCAAGCTACTCTGTCACCGGTGGAAACCAGCAGCCAAGCATGTGTCTTTTTGGCTTACATTCAAACTTGCCCTTGTCCTCAGCCTTGCGCTCTAGAGGAAATGGGGAGCTGGTGGCACAAGGAGCACTGTGGGAGTGTCGCAGTCAGCGTGGGCGGCCGTCACTAAATACCAGACTGGGTGCCTTAAACAGCAAATTCTTTTCAGTTTGGGAGGCCGGAAGTCTAAGATCAAGGTATTGGCAAGTTTGGTTTCTTCTGAGGCTTCTCTCCTTGGCTCACAGATGGCCACCTTCTCTGTGGGTCCTCATGTGGCCTTTTCTCTGTGTGCAAGCATTCCTGGTGTCTTCCTCTTCTTATAAGGACACTGGTACTGTTGGATTCGGGCCCCACCATATGACCTCATTTAACTTTAATGACATCCTTAGACATTCTCTCTCCATATACAGTCGCATTGGGGGTTAGGGCTTTAACATATGAATTTTGGAGAGTATGGACACAATTCAGGCCATAACAGAGAGTAATCGGGGCTGTGGATGGTTTGAAAGTGGGCAGGAGAGGCAGAGCTGCGTCGTAGGAATGGCGTCAGGACATTTAATCAATCGTTTAGCCATTCACCGTAGATACACAGTGTGCGTACTCTATTCCAGGCACAGAGTGAAGGGTAGGGGTTCAGTCTGGACAAGACTAGCTTTTGTCCCACCTTCATGGAGCTCATAGACTGGGAGGATTAAAAGACATGTAGACAGACAGTGACATTTCAGAGTAATGACAGGGGACAAATGGGTACCTTGGGAGCACTGAGGAAGGGGGTGCCCAAATAAAGTTATGGGGTCGGGGAAGCCTTCCTTGAGCAAATGCCTTTCTATACCAGAATGCGAAGGATGAGTTAGGAGCCAGCTGTGGAGGAAGGCTGCTCAGGCCAGGCATAGTGAGAGGGGGGCTGCAAGGTGGAGGGCACGCTGGAGGAACAGAGGGTGTTTCGCACGACTGGAGCTGGAGGCGTGGGGCGGGGTGGTGAGGGGTAAGGCCAGGTTGGGACCAGCTCCTGTGTTCGATTGTAGCTGTCTGTCCCTCTAGAGAGGAGGCTCCTTAAAGACAATAACTGAGTGTCTTGGCTCTGGGTCTCCTTTCTGGCAGAGTAGGTGTGTAGTGAATGTCGACAGGTGCCATGTGTTATGATTTGTGGTTGGGGGCTCAGCAGGCAGGTCGTAGTGGGGTGACCTTACCTCTTTGGTCAAGCAGGTGGGGGACCTGGAGGTTGCTGACCTCCTCTAGGTGCCCCTGCACTCTGGGTCACATGCGTATTGTTTTTCAGCCCTGGACAGTGAGTCTGCCTCCAGCAACATCCGCTTTAGCAAGGCCTGTCTGAAGAACGTCTTCTCGGTCCTGCTCATCGTCATCTACCTGCTGCTCATGGCTGTGGCCGTCTTCCTGGTCTACCAGACCATCACAGATTTTCGTGAGAAGCTCAAGCACCCTGTCATGTCGGTGTCTTACAAGGAGGTGGATCGCTACGACGCCCCAGGTAGAGCCTGTCTGGACAGCCATCAGGGCCCAGCTCTGGGGCATCGACTTGCAAATACTCCCTGAGCTGCCACTGTACTCCCAACTCCGTGTCGGGCATGATGGGCTGGGTGGGGGAGTCTGAGCACGGTCTAGGTGTGAGGTACACACCACCGAGTGCGTTGTGTGCCTAGGGTGGTGGACAGGGCCTAGAGCGGGCACTGCATAGCTGGGTGAGCAAGGAGCATTTTGCATAGTGGAGGATTTGAGCTGGGCTTTGATAGATGGGAAGAGAAGTTTTTTTGTAAGGAAGATTATCAGGAGCAGAGGTGAGTGTGAGGAGGCCATGGGTTCCTCTGGGGAGGCTGAGTCTAGCCTGGCTGGAGCCAGAGGCCCGCGAGGAGAAGTGGGAGTTAAGCGTGGCCGGGGAGGCAAGGCTGTCCGGAGGAGGGTGGGGTCCTGCCTGGAGAGAGGGTTCTCAGGCCGCTCCATCCATGCCTCTCCTGTCCCAGCGGGGAGTCCAGTCCCTGAGTAGGGCGTCATTTGCCCCAGGACGGGGAGTGGGGTCTCTGGCACCAGGCTCCGAGAGTGGGGATGCGGACAGGGAGGCATGAGCTCAGTGGGTTCAGACTCTGCCAGCAGGATGCCCCTGAGTGACCCTCCGATGGCCTGCTCACAGGACAAGCCAGTCTAAGGTCCCTTGTACCTGGGGCTTCTTGACAAATGTGCTGGTCATGGCTCCTTGGCCTGTCTTTACCTGTCTCGGATTTGTCTCTCTTCTGTGTGTCCACTTTGGTCTCTATCTGTGTGTGTTACTGTTTCTGGTTGGTCTCTCTGAGCTCGGCCTGGGTCTGGCGCCCTGTGCTGCTCTCAGTGTTTCTGGAACAGCGACCGTCAGCGCCATGCACGCGGAGCGTTGGCTGGGGGTGAGGGAGGACCTGTTGGGAGGTGACTTGCTCACTTGGAGCTCCAGGCAGAGCAGGAGATGAGAGGGAGACTGAGATCTGGGGGATCCCACGGCGAGGGCCTCTTAGCGGATGTGCAGGTGGGCGGCGGTGCGGGGTCGGCCCAGCCATGGAGGCCTCCGGGAGCGTGTGGAGCAGTGTCTGGCACAGGGGCGGCCGCAGTGCGGGTCGGGAGAGGAGGGGAGGGCTGTGTCCTCCATCAGAGCCAGCACGTGCCTCCCTGCCCCCGGTACCCCTTTTCTTCTCCCTCCTCCGCAGTCACCCAAGGCTTAGGTTATTGGTGGGTGTGAAAAAACGTAGGTACCGTGATTTTAGGAGTGTAGTCGGAGACAGCGACTTCTGACGCTCAGTCTTCCCTTCGTGCCCCTCAGGTATCGCCCTGTACCCCGGCCAGGCCCAGTTGCTCAGCTGCAAGCACCATTACAAAGTCATTCCCCCGCTGCGGAGCCCCGGCCAGCCTGGAGACATGGACTGCACCACCCAGAGCATCAACTACACGGACCCCTTCTCCAACCAGACCCTGGTAACTCGCGTCTGCGTCTGCGTCTGCGTCTGGGTGTGTGCCGTCAGCCCTGCCCCCGGCGTCTTCTCTCTGCCCGGTGGCCTTTCCCACGCCCGCGGTGCAGGCCGAGGCTGTGCTAAGTGGGGTCATGGCCGTGGCTGGTTCACCTGCACTCAGGGAGGGCGTGAGGCCTGCAGTGTCTTTGGAGTGACCCTCAGGGATTCTCTGCAGTGCGATCCGATCCTGTCCTTGATGGAAGGAGGAATGGCTGCAGGCTGGGGCCAGTGTGACGGAGTAAAGTGGGTCCCACACCTGACTGCTCAAAGGACTTGCCTGTGAGCTTTTTGGAAAATACAGATTCCCAGGATCCATGCGGGGCCGACTGACTGCTCCTTCCAGGGGATGGAGCCTGAGAATCCATAATACGCCATTGTAAAGGAGGGGCATGGGCACAGGGACCGTGGCCCTGGAGTCACACGCAGCCACGCAGCTCAGCAGGGGAGTGGACGGCCGGGAGGAGTGGCGCCCGCGCAGGGGTGTGAAGGAGGGAGGGAATTTTGTGTTTTTTCCACATCTCCCTTTGCAGCCCGTAGCCTTGTTTCAGAAAGGATTGAACAGGGGCGAGCAAGGTTTTCCAGCTCAGAGAGGAAGGGGCAGTTTCCTAGGCCCAGGGACTCTGCACCAGGACTCACAGGGAGGAGCAGTGTGTTGTGTCTGTGCCTCTGGGCAGTTACAGTAGGTGGGTGTTTCTGGAGGGTCAGGTGCCCCAGAAGAGCAGCGGGTGGTGACGGTGACGCTGTGGACAGAAGTAACAGTGGGAGCAAAGCGCTCTGTCCTGCTGCAGAGCAGGACCTGCTCTGTGGGGTGCTGGGCCGGTCTGACGGTGAATTTCGTAAATATTTACTCTAGGCTTCCTCCTAAAATCCTGTTGAAACAATTCCTACTCCTGCAAAAAAAAAAAAAAAGAATGAAATATCCACATTAGACTTGCAAACCAAGAAAGGGTATCACCAGTTGATCAGAAACTTTGAAGAACTGGTATGAAATGTAAGTAGCAAAGTGGATCAGATTGGTGGAGCGAACAGATCAGGGCAAACCCGTAGGCGGAAGCAGACCTAGGCGAGGACTGCCGCAGAGGCGAAGGCTTTCCAGTCGCAGCTCCGCTCAGGCCGTCCAAAGAGCAGGGCTGCCCGCAGGGGTGAGGCGTAGGGGACGCCTGCCGGCCGGGCCTGCGCACCCTCTGCGCTCCTAAGGCAGGCGGAGCTTCTGGGTGAAAGGCCCCGGCTGATCTCTGCGTAAACCGAGGGGAGGCCCCCTGCGAGGGCGTCGGGGCAGCAGAGGACAGAGGGAGAGCAGACCGGGCTCCCCGTGGAAGCGGGGGAACTGCCGGGAAGGGGTCTCTTCCCGGGATGGAAACGCGTGGAGCGTGCGGCCTTGCTGTGCTCCCTGCCGTGCAGGAGTCCTCCCAGCCCCCGGCCAGGAGGAAGAAACCCACGCCCAGACCTGTGCTGGGCAACTTGATTCTTCGTTGGGAAATAAGACGAGAATTAAGTCACTAGACACTTGCGTGACGCGACCAACAGGAGGAGAACAGACTCCAGAACAGGGAAATGGAAGCTAATTTACATGAAAAGGAAAATGAATTTTTAAATTTTAACAAAGAGCTAGATGTACAGTAGAACAGCCCTCTGGCTGGATCCCGCTTGGTTCCCCACACGCTTCCGAGCACAGCTGGTGCGGGGTCCGCATGGCCCCCTCGGCTCCCCACGGGAGTAGCGCGCGAACTCGGAGTCTTCGTGTTCATTCCCAAACCCCTTTGTGCAGCCGTGCGGGTTACGTTAGCTGTGTAATTTAAATAATATAAAAACCCATGGACTCGGCACAAAAGGAGAGTTGTTTCCATGACACTGAGTTGAACGCAGCAGCTGCGTCCTGCTGTGATGGTCAGTCTTCGGCAGTTCTGGATGTACAGATGTGGCCCTTTGCTGGGGGAGAGGTTGTCCCCTCGCCACTTCCTGTGCACCAGCTGCCCGCCAGGCCCGCCGCAGGGGAGGACTGGGCAGCGCAGGACCCCCACACAGGGAAGAGAGAAGCAGGGTGCACAGCAGCTGCTCCGGGCAGCGAGGAGGGCCCGCGGGTTGGGACTGAGAGTCTGGCCGCCACTCGAGGACCTGGGTTCGACTCGTGTGTCCTCACTGGCCCCTGGCTTTGTCCACTGGGAGGGTGTGCCTTGGTGGTGGTCCTCTGTGGCCATAGTTGGAGTGGACATTAGATGCATGCCCCCCCTGGGTCACAGAGCTTTGGGGACCCACTTCCTGCTGCAGAGGTGGGGCAGCGGCTTTGGGCTGCACAGTCGGACGTGGCGGTTGGCTCGTCATCCTTCTCCCCCCACCTTTCCATGTGCAGTGAGATGTCTTCAGAAACGTGGGCTTCTGGCTGCGTCCTATCCAAGTCCAAGGGAAAGTGACCTAGCCAAGGGTCTCATGTGGTCCTCCTTTGTCAGCCTTCAGACCCTCATTTCGTCTGTCTCCCCAGCCCCTCCCACAGTTTAATCTAGTTAATGTTTACCAAATGCTGGGCTCTAGCAGTTAGGGTCACTGCCTCTTCGCGCTGCAGGACCTGTGTTTGTTTCCTTGCTGCCTGCTCTATTTCCAGTATGCACATGTTTAGCTGATGCCTCATTTTTAGCTGGTTGTTACCATGATACAAAACAACTTGTCACAGAGAACAGGCTGAGCTGCTGAACAGAGCAGATACCCCAAACGGACGCAGTGGCTGAGACGAGAGGGAAGTCTGTTTCTCTCTCTGGGGACAGTCCAGGCGTGCAGGCCACGCCACACTGCAGGTAGTGCCGCCTCACAGGGTGGTCAGCAGTGGCTTCTGTCTGTCACTCTGCTGTCCCCCAGGCGTAGTCTTGGTCCTTGTCGTCAGCACTGACTTGCCAGCATGTGCGTACACACCTGCTCCCGGGGGTTGAGAAGTGGAGGGCAAGCACTCCCCCGACGTGGACATGTCACCGCGTTGCATGAGTCACTCTGTGCACTTTCCAGGAACTTCATCACATGGCCACATCTGAGGCCAGAAGTGGGGGTCCAGCAGGACGACTATTCTGCTAAGATCTGGCATTGGGGAAGTGGTTCCGGTTCCGCAGGAGGAAGTGGATAATGGAAACCGGGACACTTAGCACGCACTGCTGCCCCTGAGTGTGTCACAGGAAAGGTTGAAAAGGAACAGATGGACAGAGATCTCTTGGGAAAATGCAACAGTAACCAGAAGTGGAGTGGCAATATTAACACGTCAGTCAAAAAGGAATTTCAGATGCAAAGGGTTAAAAGGGTCATATGTTTAACATCTAAGGGGTTCAGTTCCACTACTCTCCACTATGAAGATTTAATAGTCATAAATCTACACAAAATAGCATAGCAGACCTCTTAGAACGGGGGACGGCAGAGAGACAGAAGCCACTGCTGACCACCCTGTGAGGCGGCACTGCCTGCAGCGTGGCGTGGCCTGCACGCCTGGACTGTCCCCAGAGAGAGAAACAGACTTCCCCCTCGTCTCAGCCACTGCATCTGTTTGGGGTCCCTGTTCTGTTCAGCAGCTTAGTCTGTTCTCTGACCGTGACAGAAGTTGTTTTCAGGAACTGAAGCATCATGGTAACAACCACCTAAATATCATCACCTCAGCGTGTGACCTAAACCTCTCAGAAATTCACAGACCAGACAGACAAAAAGTAGTGAGGGTAACGTGAATAGCACAGTAAATTTAGAGTATGTGCGTCACACTTGGTGCCTGACAATACTCACTCTTTTCAAATATCTGTAGAGCATTTATGAAAGTTGATGATGTACCAGAAGGTGAGGGGCGGGGAGGTAGACAGGGTAAAATGGGGTCAAACGTGTGGTAACAGAAAGAAATCTGAGAGGTGAACACACAGTGTAAATATATATGCGCCTCACTGTTAAAAGGTACAGCCGAAACTTACTGGATTTCGTTAACCAATTTCACCATAAAAAAAAGTTGATGTTGTAAAGGTATTTTTTCCCAAATTAATCTATCAATCCAGTGTCATCAGTTAAAAGTCCCAGTCGAAACTTAAGCTAGTTTTAAAGTACGTTTAGAAGAGCACATGTACAAAAGTAACCCCACGAGGTTTGGGGATGGGAAGTGACATGGAGGGGACCTGCCAGGCAGGTGTCTAACGGAATTAAGCCCACAGCAGTCAAGCTTGCATCTCCACCGTGTAGGAAGTGGGACTTAGAGCCCTGGTTCACACCATGTACAGAACGGTACCTAAATGTAAGAAAGATTAGAAAGAGCTGCTCTAAAATACAGGAGAATATTGATATAATTTTGGTTTTCCTTAGCAAGCAAAACCCAGAAGCTATTAAAAAAAAAAAAAAGATTTACGAATTCCACTACATCAGATTTAGAGCTTCATAAAACAAATGACATTAAACACGAGGTTAATGGGAACCTGACTGACTGGAAGAAAATATTTGTACAGAGAACAGATGGAAGTTAATATTCTTTTTTTAATAACAAGCTTCTGCAGCGTAACCAATCCACGAGGAGAGCGACCGAGGACAAGTCGAACTTGGCTCTGGTCCCGTGGCTTGGGCTCCCTGAGCAGGAGGGTGTGGCTGGGGTTCCCTTGGGGGCTGCCGGGGTCAGGAGGGCCCCTGGCTGCCCCTAGAGCGTCTGTGCGCCTGGTGCTCCAGGGCTGAGATGCTGGCCTTGGTGTCTCTGCAGAAATCCGCCCTGATCGTGCGCGGGCCCCGGGACGTGAAGAAGCGGGAGCTGGTCTTCCTCCAGTTCCGCCTGAACCAGAGCAGCGAGGACTTCAGTGCCATCGATTACCTCCTCTTCTCCTCCTTCCAGGAGTTCCTGCACAGGTGGCCTCTCAGCGTCCCCGGCGGGCGTGTATACACTGTCTCATTCGGCCTTGCACGTCCCTGGGCGCGGCTGGGGCTGGAGGCAGGGAGGCCGGCGGGCCAGCGGGCCAGTGGGCCAGCGGGCCAGCGGGCCAGCGAGGGCTCCTTGGGACTGCCGAAGCCCCGGTGCTCCGAGGGGCCTGGCCACCATGCTCGCCCTCTGCAGCCCTCAGTGCCCGCTGCTGGGAGCAGGTGGGGGAATGGCAGGGGGCTGCAGGGGGCTGCAGTGGCGGGGCTGCTGCCTCGAGGTGGGTGACCACCCCCCACCTCTAGCTGGGCACCAAGCATAGCTTGCAGAGGAGGCTGGCGCGCAGAATCTTGCTGTCACGCCTGATGAACTTGGACCTTTCTTCTCCGTCCTCTCAGCCCAGACAGAGTGGGCTTCATGCAGGCCTGCGAGCGCGCCTATTCCAGCTGGAAGTTCTCGGGGGGCTTCCGCACCTGGGTCAAGATGTCCCTGGTGGAGACCGAGGAGGAGGACGGGAGGGAAGCGGTGGAGTTCCGGCAGGAGGTAGGTGCGCTGGGTCTGCTTCGCCCTGCGGGTGACACTCACCCCGAGTTGGACAGGGAAGCTTCGTAGAGGAGATGACCTTGGCGCGGGGCCTTCAGGGTGAGAGCGGCCCCGGGCCGGGAGTTCCCATGTTCGGCGCACATGCCAGGCCCTCCGTTACAGCCCGTCCTCGCAAGACACACGGGCGGGGCAGAGACGGCCGCTGCGCCAACCGCCAGAGCTGGTGTCTTGCCACAACCTCCCCGGTGCTGAGAGGCTGCCTAGAAGATGGATTATTTGCAGGGAAGAGAGACTAGATACGGTGGCCTCTGAAGTGTTGTGGGCACAGGAGTAAAATACTAGCTTTTTGTATTTTTTAAAATCCCATCCTTTTTCTATTTTTGAATGTTTCATAATGCATGTAACATTAGGACAGTAACGGTAATGCTACATCACATCCGAAGGTATAAATATGTTGGGTGCACGCTCAGAAGTTTTTACTAATGGGAGGTGTGATCCAGAAGCTTTCAGCCCACTGGCCTGGAGCCAGGAGATGTGCCAGGAGTCTCTAGCCGTGATCCTGATGAGAGGGGACCTTGGGAAAAGGTATGGCAGTGAGGATGGAGAGATGAGATATTCTGGTCACCTCAGCAGGGCTGTTGGTCAGTCATTACCGAAAGCAAGGCTTCCGCTGCCTCAGTGGCTCTCTGCCTCCTGCCGGATCCACACACAGCCAGCCCGGCCACAGGCGTCAGTGGCTGGGAGCCTGCGGAGGCAGCGAGGAGACGGGGCTGTGCTCATGCTCTCTGCTCCTCCTGGGGTTGGGTGGGGGGAGACATTCCATTTGGACTGGGATCCAAAGGGCAGTGTGGGGAAGGGGCCGAGTGGGTGTGGATGACCAACTCCAGCCAATGGGGCTTGTTCAGGGCTGCCCCGTCCCCAGCCCTGGCCCCCAGGACTACTCCAGATTACAGAGCTTTGGGAAGAGCAGAGAGCCAGTTTTCTTCAAGGGGACGGGCTTTATTCCTGCCTTAGGAGGTGACAGCCCCTGCTGGCAGTAGGTCCTTAAAACGTTCCTGTGTTGCAAGATAACTCATCTCCTGATTTTTATTCCACCCTTCTCTCCAAGAACCCCAGGCCCTTTCTTGCCTGGCCCCACAGCAGCTGAGGAAGGGGACTCGTGTGTTCACCTCATGGTGAGGTGCAGCCCGCCCCGCTCTCCGGGTGGCCCCAGCTGTGATCTGAACACGGGGCCCCAAACCCCAGTGGACCTATACATATTAGAATGTTTTATGTGCTTTTTATCGTAGTCTTCATTGGAAGTCTTGGCAGGGGACACAGATCCTTGAACAGTATTTTAAATGCTTTTACGTCATGCTCGAAGTTTAAGATACTTTCATACACATCGTGGCGTTGACCCTCTCCACACCTCAGAGAGGTGTAGGCTTTCTGTCCGCATTTCATGGGTGGCAAAGCAGAGGCTCAAGTCAGAAGATAGACCCAGCCCTTCTGCCTCTGGAACCTGTGTGCTGTCTGTGACACCATGCAGGCCCTTTAGTGACTGGCGCCCAGATCTTCCACGTCTGTGGTTTACGCGGGATGCTCAGCCGGGTGGAGCTGAGGCTGCACGTTGTCCCTGTAAACTTTAAGCATCAAAATACTCAGCTCTTAAGATAAAGTATTTTGAAATTTGTGGTTTTTATGGCTTTTAATTATCTTACACGGTACTTTGGTGTAATTGGTGACTATTCAGCTCACCTATCATGCACCGCAGATCCTATCCATTTCCCCAAAGAGCCGTGGGAACCAGGGCAAGGCCTGGGCTCTGGCACCAGTTTCAGGGGGTCTTGCATGAGAGATTTTTGGCTCTCTTCCTGCAAGATGCTCTGAGGGGAGCCAAAGTCCAGTCATCCCTAACTGTGCTCTCGTTTCCCACGGCCCAGGCCAGGTGACACTGCTCTCTCTCCTCTGTCCCTAGACGAGTGTGGTTAACTACATTGACCAGAGGCCAGCTACCGAAAAAAGTGCTCAGCTGTTCTTTGTGGTCTTTGAATGGAAAGATCCTTTCATCCAGAAAGTTCAAGATGTGAGTATTATTTAAGGTTGAGAGAGCACTTGGGCTTGTCCTTGTAAGCTGTCTCTGTCTTTCCTAGCAGTTCATTTGTATTTAAGACATTCATGTTCTGTACCATTTGTGTTTAATCGATTTTCTCTTCATCACTAGACTATTCCTATGATGGCGGGGACTATGTCTTTTGTTCACCGTAATTTATTCGGTGTCTAGCAGAGTGCTTGGTACAGAGGAGCTGCTGAGTCATAACATTAATTGAATGAACTGAGTAGAAAGCATTAAGCTCATATCTAGATTACTGCTATTCGGAAGCCATTCTTTTTTGGATGAGAACTTATTATTTGTAGTAATTCAGAGGAGAAAGGTGCAAATAAAAAATTAACAGGATCAGTTAATGCCGGATTCTCAGATTCACAGTCTTGAAGGGGAGGAGTAATGAGACAGCTTCACTAAAGAAGCATTCATGAGACATCGTCCACCACAGCCAACCTCAGATCTAATACTGTTGGCATGTAGATCATCACAAAATGTCCTGACATGGCCGTGGCTTGGGGGAAGATATTTCATAACGGAGACTTAAACAGGGAGTCTCTTTGTGACACAGATGTCCTCCATTATCACCCACGTTAATCGTGGATCGGCGAAGCCGTGTACACAGAGGCATGCGCTGAGGCTTACTGAATCGAGATGGGGTGGAAGGATGAACGCCTTCAGCTCCACACGTAAACGTGTGACCATTTCTTAACCTGCTTTTTTATTCAGTAAGAGGTACCCGTTACGGGCCAGTGTGTGTGTTGTCACTCAGCTTCACAACAGTTCTACGCAGTGCAGGTGATACCACCATTTTACATAGGTAAACCCCAAGGTTCAGATTGTCCAATGTCATCCTACTAAACTGGGACTTCAAAGTGCGGTTTACCATGATGGGGAACTCACAAACCCAAGATGTGACATCAGCCTTGAAAAGTTTAACATTTAGTGAGTGAGCCATTTATAGCTGTAAAGCGACTAATTCCAGACAGTAACTGCTGGAGGAGACAGTGGGATAAATACCTCTGCTGTAGTCGAGAGGGTTTTGGCTTAGTGGACAGAAAGCTCTGAGGAGCCCTGGAGGGTTAGTAACTCTGGGTGGGAGGAAACATCACAGGCAGGGCCAGGAGTCCGTGAGGTGAGTCGTTGGACTGGATGGAGAAGCTCGAATCACTGCAAAATGGGGAGAAAACAAGGGGAACTCCCTTTCTTATGGGTTGGGTAGAGTTTTAGGGAAATTTGGCTCAAAGCAAGGTCACTTATTGTAGATTAGACCAAAAATTTTAAGTTCAGTACTGAGTATCTTATTTGTACGGAGCTTTTTTTGAAAAAGTTTTTTCTTTCAGAATCACTATTGTATCTTCCTCTTCAAACTGAACTGCGGACATTAAAGTATGAATGAAGTACAGAGTTAGGATAGTTTCAGACCAGGCATTTTTCTTGTTGCCCCAGTGACATTAGAAAACCGAAGCAAACTAATAAACTCGTATTTGTTTCTGTTTTTCAGATAATCACAGCCAATCCTTGGAACACAATCGCTCTTCTCTGTGGGGCTTTCTTGGCATTATTTAAAGCAGCAGAGTTTGCCAAACTTAGTGTGAAATGGATGATCAAAATTAGGAAGAGGTACCTTAAAAAAAGAGGCCAGGCAACGAACCACATAAGCTGAAGTCGCCTCGCGCTGTTGGCAGAACTGGTTCTCACCACTTCTGCTCTGATGAGCCGAGCACCGGAGCTCCTGCACTCACCGGAAGGAACGGGCTCTGCTGGGAGGGACAGCCTCACGGGACAGACCCAGTGGAGAACCTCAAGTTATTTAAGTACTTAAATTATTGAACATTTTTTGACTAGGACACGAATAGGGTTTGTGGAAGATGGAATTATATGTATATATCTGGTGTTCTGACGGTTTGCAGAAGCTGCCTTTCTTCTTCTTTGGTTTGGTGTATAGTTCAGCCCTGACAGGATATTAAGGCTCTGCTGTTTACCTCAGGTTTTTTTCCAAGGCTCTCAAAGTGGACGGAAGACGGAGTGACTATCTAGATGTGGAGGTCATGCTTTGAAAACTGCACTGTGCACAAAGGCAAAAACTCTTACGTCTGGCAACATCTGCCATTTACATGGTCCAGCTTGACAAGCTTTCTCATGTTAAATGTTAAGTGAAATTTTAAAGCTACTAGAAACAAGCAATTAGATTTCCTGTGGACTGACTGGTCACCTACCTGTCTCGTTAGAATATTCATTGATGCAGGTAATGTTTAGAGTGATTAACACCCAAAAGCACTAGTATGTATATACATAGCAGGTATTCAATGTATTTTGATGATTTCATTAACAGGTAAATAAAAGTTAGGCTAATACAAAAGGAATCAGTGTGCCAGTATTAATATCTGCTCCATCAGTAGGCACAGGTACGCTTTCGTTCTGTGAGCTCCAAATAAAAGGCAGCGTGAGCCTGGACTCTGAGATGGATGGATCTGGACCCCTGAGGTATGTCGTGACTGCGTCCAGGAAGGGCTAGGGTGAGCATGGCAGTTGATTGTGGATGATCAGGAAGTGATGGATCAAGCCCCATGAATAAGCTACAAAACTACCCGTCTGAGAAAGGGGCACTTTCTGCCTTTCCTTGGACAGATGAATACCATCTGGGTATTTTTTACATGGTAGCCCTAAGCTGATTTGAGGTTATGAAACTGTTTCCAGAGTTTTAAATTATTTAAATGCTTTCTGCATCCACAGAGGACTTGGTAGCATTTCCTGAATTTCATAGAACTGCCTTTAGGTAATTCAAAGAGAAAAATGCAAATGTATCTAATGTCTAACTTAGCAGCAAGGAACTTTTTTGGTTGAACTATTAAAAGTAAACTTGCGTAAAGGAATATTCCCTGCTTTTCTATGCCACTGGAGCATGCAGATTTAAACCTTCGTTTAGGTCTCATCTCTCAAATCTTGCTGTAAGACAATGCAAAACCAGGCATTTGTAAAGCTTACATTAACAGTACTGAAAACCAGGTGTGTACTTTTAAAGTACCTCTAAAGGTGACATACCACTTAGTAAATATCTGATAAAATTTGCTCCAGTGAACATACAAAAACTGCACTTTCTGCATTGTGGAAAGTGGAGAGACCTCTTAATTGTGCTTTAGAGTAAGTAGGTAATTAGGAAGTGAGCATTTTTAGCTCATCAAAGAAAAATATTAGCTGCAGCCTGCCAAAATCTACGCTGGCTGCTTTTCAGTATGTGCCTAAACCTTCCACAAGACAGAGACTTCTTTAGACCTAACCCTCGCTTTCTGGAAAGGCAGGGCCTGCCTTTCATTCTGTTTGTTCTGCAGTGAGGCCCACGCATCCACCTGCACCGCCTCCAGCTGTCAGTAGTGCAGCTGGCCTTGGCTTAGTGCGGAGGGTCTGGCAAGAACACCTGGATCTGGAGGTAAGGTGGCTGCCTTATGAGCCATGTACTGAAAAGGAAGAGGTCTTTTTCTCCTGGGACCACAACGAACAAAAGGAGTTGCTTTTACAGTGACCTAGGAACAGTGTGCAGAAGCAATGCTGGTTTTTCATGGGTGTAGAAGGCTGGAATCAGGCATTAGTAGTTGGGAACTTCATGATGTCTGACTTCTGACCCTGCCCAATCTCCCTGTCCCCCATAAACAGTGCTGTTATTTATTACAGTTTTAGAGATTTAGCCGCCTCAGTCTATTTTAATTAAAACTAACATTTAAAGTACGTTAATAAACTCACCCTCTGAACATAAAGGGACATGAAGGATATCCTAGAACTTAGAATTTTATGCAAATATTCTGTAAAATAGATATGTATCTGTTTTGATAAATGGCTGGAATACTCAATCTGGCACAATCTTCCTATTTAGTTAGAACATATCCCACCATTTGCCTTAAAGTTTTCTGTGTGTGTATGTGTGTGTGTGTATGTGTATACTACATGTATAAAGGGATGCCTAAACTTAGAGCTGAAAAAAGTAGAGATGACATAAGGCAAAATACAAACATGGACTTTATTAAATGCTGCTCAATCCCCCAATGAAGATCTTTCATTACAAAACAGTTTCCCACACAACTGCAAGTTAAGAGATTGGAATGGTACTCTGATAACAAAAGATGTGAGAAATTCTTCACCAAGTAAAAACATACAAGACTTCTCTATAGTCAATTTTCTCAGAACTCTACAGAGGAAGCCTACTGCATTTCCTTTAAATAAAGCCAGGCAGTGACAACGAGTGCTCTGCGTCACCACATTGTGGGACTCAAAGCCTCCATCCCTGGGTCAGGAGGGGCCGGAGGAAGGGCCGGCTGTGAGGACTGGAAGGGCCCTGCCTGCAGGAGGAAGCAGAGGAATGAAGGGAGAGGCAGGTGCGTGTTCACCTGCGCTGCCTCCACTAGTGCGCGCTCGGCCCTGGGGCGCTGCACGTGAAGGGGGCAGTCGTGAGGAACACTCTGAAGAATTTGGTTTACTTTCCCAGCTTTTATTTATATTTTGTGCTTTAAAAAGCCTGGAGATTTAAGTTTTTGCTCAAATTCCAGAGTACAGTAATATCTCTAACATAAAGGAAGGCTTCGGGTAGGTAGTTCCCTCCATCATATTTCTGGTAGGGACAAAGGGCAGGGTGAGGGTTATACCTTAGTTTTATTTTAGGAAGTACTTTTTCCTAGGATATAACTAAGGTCTGCAGCAGTGTGAAAAGCACATTATAAAAGGGAAAAATATACAGAGCAGACTACTCTATGTGCAACACAATCAAAAGAATTCAAGTCATAATTCCTTACCACTCCCATAATTATATCACTCATTATAGAAGATAAAGTTCATTCATTTCTGTGAAACTTCAGAAGTGACACAATAAATCAATGATTAGACAAAGGTTACAATATACTGTGGCCATGATACAGCACAGAGCTATGTTTAGTCCATACATTTTTTCATTTACAGTTGCCAGAAAAAAAATTGGCCTTTAATTATATTATACTGATGAGGTTTGTTTCATAATTTTTACATATTTCAAAAAAGTGTACAAAACTGCCTATCCAACAGAAGTGACAGGCTTTTTTTATTCGGTACTTGTATTGCTGAGAATACTGTGCATGTTGTAAGCACTGTTCTGTTTTTCTAGAGCTTTCTTTAGCTTTAGCTCCTCTAATTTTTTCCATAATTCTTCACGTTCCAATTCTTTCTTTTTCTCTCTGTAGGTAAACCAAAATTTTTGTAATCAGAAACTTTTATTTCAGAGCCTGAAGAACGTGCCGTTTGGCAGTTACCCACTTTGCACTTAGATCCCTCTACTAAAGTGTTTGAGGCCAGTTACCAGAGAGGACACCTAGTCACTCTTCTCTCCTGAGTGTAATTACCACCCCGGTGCCTCTCCTGTACCAACCAGAAAGTACTACTTGCTGCCCCTCCTCTACATGGCATCACGACCATCACCACCACCACTGCTTTATGGCTGACAAAGTACTTTTTTAAAAAAAATAAAAGTAATTAAAATTTTTTCAATTACTGTTGATCTACAATATTGTATTAGTTTCAGGTGTACAGCATAGTGATCGGACATCTATGTAACTACGAAGTGATCACCCTGGTAAGTCTAGTGCCAATCTGACACCATACAGTTATTACATTATTACTGACTATACTCCCTATGCTGTACTTCACATCCGTGTAACTTTTTGTAACTACCAATTGTACTTCTTAATCTTTTCACCTTTTTCACCTATACCTCCAACCCCTCCTCCCATCTGGCAACCATCAAAATGTTTTGTTTATCTATGAGTCTGTTCATTTATATTCTTTAGATTCCACATATTAAGTGAAATCATGGTAACTGTCATTTTCTGTCTGACTTATTGCACTTAGCACAATCCCCTCTAGATCCATTCCTGTTGTCGCAAATGGAAAGCTTTCATTCTTTTTTATGGCTGAGTAATATTCTATTGTATATATGTGCCATATGGTCTTTATCCATTCATCTGCTGATGGACACTTAGGTTGCTTCCATATCTTGGCTACTGTAGAAAATAGTGTAATGAACAAAGGGGAGCATGTATTTTTTAAGTTAGTGTTTTGGATTTCTTAGGATAAATACCCAGGTGTAGAACTGCTGAATCATATGATAGTTCTATTCTGAATTTTTTGAGGACCCTCCATTCTGTTTTCTGTAGTGGCTGTACCAATTTGCAATCCAACCAACAGTGCATGAAGGTTCCCTTTTCTCCACATCCTCACCAATACTCGGTTGCTTTACTGATGATAGCTATTCTGACAGGTGTGAAATGATAGCTCATTCTGGTTTTAATTTGCATTTTTCTGATGAATAGTGATGTTGAACACCTTTTCGTGTTTATTGGCCATCTGTATGTCGTCTTTGGAGAAATGTCTTTTTAGATCCTCTGCCTATTTTTTAATTGGATTGTTGGTCTTTTTGATGTTACATTGTTTGAGTTCCTTATATATTTTGGATGTTAACCCCTTATCAGACGAATCATTGGCGAGTATCTTCTCCCATTCAGAAGGTTGTCTTTTGTTTTTCCTTGCTGTGCAAAAATTTTGTTTGATGTAGTCCCATTTGTTTCCCTTGCCTAAGGAGACACATCCCAAAAAATATTACTAAGAGCAATGTCATCTAGGAGTTTTATGGTTTCAGATCTTATATTTAAATCTTTAATCCATTTTGTAATAATTATTCTTGTATATGGTATAAGAAAGTGGTCTTGTTTCATTTTTTTGTATGTATCTGTCCAGTTTTGTCAACACCACTTACAGACAAGACTGTTGACCCCACTGTGTATTCTTATCTCCTTTGTCAAAGATTAATTGACCATACAGGCATGGTCGGGCTCTATTCTGTTCCATTGATCTGGGTGTGTTTTTATGCTGGTACCATGCTGTTTTTGATTAATATAGCCTTGTAACAGAGTTTGATATCTGGTAGTGTGATACATCCAATTCTGTTTTTCTTAAAATTTCTTTGGCTATTCAGGGTCTTTTTGGTTCTATATAAATTTAAATATTATGTGTACTAGTGCTATGAAAAATGCCGTTGGTATTTTGATAGGGATTGCTCTGTATCTATAGATTGCTTTGGGTAGTATCGACATTTTAACGCTGTTAATTCTTCCTATCCATGAGCACGATATATGCCTATTTTATTTGTATCTTCTTCAGTTTCTTCCTTCAGTGTCTTAAAATTTTTTGAGTATAGGTCTTTTACTTCCTTGGTTAAATTTATTCCTAGGTTTTTTTTAATGTAATTGCAATTGTAAATGGGATTGTTTTCTTAATTTCTCTGATAGCTCATTATTGGTATGTAAAAATGCTACCAAGTTCTGAATGTTAATTTTGTATCCTGCTCCTT